CGCTCGCCCACCCGCAAGCGCGACACGCCCCTCTGCAAGCACGACACGCTCACCGTGCAGGGGGCGGAGATCCATCTCCATGGCCCAGTTTCAGGAAGCCCACAGATCTGCACTGGGCCATGGACCGGGGGGTGGGGACCCAATGTTAGAATAAAGAATTTGGAGACAAGGGCTGGACAATGGAGGGGCCCTGGTGTCCCCATGAGCGCTCCTTGGCTTCCTCTCTCTCTTCTTGAACTAGGAAACTGGGAGATCTAGTTTTTGGCTCACCCATTGCATGGGCAGAAGAAATCACAGTGCCACAACTGATGTGAATGCACTTGATTAGAAAAAGTAGAAGCCCCAGTTGGGGAGGAGAAAAGTATGGATGAGAGGAGGAGAATTCCAGGCTGACATGCATTGACTTCTACATCACGCCAGTTCATGGAAAATAAGGTGGACCTGACCAACTGAAGCATCTGCCATATCAATGCAGACACAACCTGAAAGAAATGTTAGTCTTAAAGATGCTGCAGTGCTTTTGCTTGGGTTTTATTCTTCTTATAAACGTAGAAAATTCAGAAGACATGGCCGTGCTATTTAGGGAATTCTAGGAACTGCAGTCTTTACACCTTCTCGGGGCATAAGCCTTAAGGGCCACTTGTGGTTTAAATGTTTTCAGACGCTGGCCTTTCCCACTGCTTGCCGGAACACAAACTCGCCCGATGCATCTTGGCTTCTTCTACCTAAAAGTTGGGGATCACTGGAATTTCCAATCTAACAACCGCAGAGCTTGGAAATAATGCTTTAGATTTGAACATGTTAATGGTTACGTTGTCAGTGTCCCATTAAACAGGCAGAATGCGTCCAATCTTCTGAAAATATTTGTAAATCATGTTAAAATATTCAAAATTCCATGTTCAGGACACTATTCTTTAGCTGCATTGGCTGGCTTTGTCCTTCGGGTAACGTAAAAGAGATTATCTTGGCGGTGACATGTCGAATCTGATGCATTATTTCCTAGCTCTGCTTTGGAAGACCCCAATTCGTCCTTCCCTGGCATCTGAAGGACCCAAACTTCTCCCTTTTCCTGCTCAGGGTCTGGAAAGATTTAAGGCTGCAATCCTAGACCTATGCCAACCTTCCTGAGGTCAAGCCTTGTTGATCTCGTCAAGAATTGCTCATTGAGAAGGTCAGCTGTAGCACCTTGGGGATGACCAGATTTATTTCAGAGTGATCCGTTGTGGATCACAAGCCAGACAACACAAAGAAGTGAGATGGAGGAAAGGGTAATGAGGGCTTTTAGAATGTCATTGCCACCTGTCGTGATCAACGTGTTGATTACACAAATCTCCTTTGATCAACAGTTAGACAGTTGGGTTGAAATAAGCCTTCGATCAAGGAGCAGGACTGTTGTTGCTGCTGTCGCATGCGGTGAAGTCATCTCTGACTTACTACAACCTGATGAATGAGTGAGATGCCCAGTGTGGTGTAGTGGATAGAGTAATGGACCAGGACTCTGGAGAACAGGGTTCAAATCCCCACTTGGCCACGACAACTCACTGGGGGAGCGGAACCGGCAAAATCATATATCTCACTTACCAAATAGGGTCCCTATAAGTGGGTTCTCACTTGACCGCACAGAACATATACACACGTATTAGTGACCTCCAAAATGCCCCGTCATTAACAGTCTTTCTGATCCATTGCAAACTGAAGGCCATGGCTTTATTGAGTCAATCCATCTCACGCTGGGTCGTCTTCTTTTCTTGCTGCCTTCAACTTCTCCTGCCATTATTGTCTTTTCCAAATAATCTCTCCCTTGTTATGAAGGGCCCAAAGTAGGACAACCTCCGTTTCATCATATTTACTCCTAGCGAGAATTCAGGCTTGATTTGACTCGCTGGTTTGACTTTCTGGTGTTATAGCTATCATTTCTTTTTGTTATGGTTGTAACAAAGACTATGGGTTGGGGCCTCCAGGACTTTGCCCCAAATGCTAAAATTTAGATGGACCTAAAGGGGAAATCGACCGCTATTACAAAAATAAATGACAATACCTTTGGGCCTGAGTCGCTTCCCCTTGTTTGAAAGCAGACCCTTTGACTCTCTGCTTTGCAGGGGGCACCACATTCTGCTTTTTTCCCCTGTCACTCAAACCTCAGCACAAAGTAGGTAGGCCAGCTGGCATAATAACCTTTCTCATTAAAATTCTGATCCCACACATTGATGCATATCTAGTGTGCTAAGAATCAGTTGTCTTCATTCACTTGCTTTGATGTACGTTGGAACCCTAGGATCATAAATTCCTGAAGTTGGAAGGGTCCTCTTAAGGTCATCAAGTCCAACCCCTTGCTTGAGGCAGGCATCCCCATCGAAGCAGCTGTGAGAGATACTGGTCCAATTTCCTCTTGAACATCTGGACCAGCGTTGGATCGCTTCATCCTTGTTTCTGTTGTCATGCTACAGTACTCTCATTTGGGAATCGGGACGTGGGCCGCTTTAGCTGCCTCCCTTTTGAGTGAAAAACACATACTTTCAGGGCTGGGCCTTCATTTCAGTTCAATGACGGAGGAAATGCCTGAGCGACGTCTGAACGCTTCGTTTTTTAAGAAGAAAGCTTCCCAGGGCAGCACTTTCCCTGTAGGAATCCCGAGGCGCCACTAGGGGGCGGAAGAGAAGCCAGGCAGACGCTCTAACCTGGCTCTCCGCGGCTCTCGCGTCGGCGCACTTCCGGTTGGGAACTTCCGGCCGGAGCCTCTCAGTCTTCGTGAGGCGCGGAGTGGAGCGGTGGCGACGGTAAGAGCGGGGCCGCTAAAGAGGCCGAGTCGAGGGGGGAGGAATGGGGCTCCTTCCCTTTCCCTCATAAGAGTCGGCCTTGTGGGATGACATGGAGAGGAGAAGCCTGGGACCGGCCAGCGGAACGGCCCCTCTGAGCATGGGCAAAGCGCTGGCCGCCGTTACAACGCCGTTACCGGTTTTCCCTTACCTCAGGATTTATGGGGTGGGGGAGGGCTTCCAACGGTTTGTGTTTCTCTGCCCAGACCTGAAAGCTGAGGGGCCTCCTCTTTGAGTTCGAGTAAGGGAGAGGGATTTTCGGGTCCCCCCTCCGCTTCCTTGGGACCCATTTGTTCATATTTATTATTATTATTATCATCATCATCATCATCATCATCATCTTCCCGCCCAGCAAGTGGCGAGGCGAGCAAATGGTATGATTATCTACATGCCAGGGCCATGATAAAACCACCCAGCAAGTGGCGAGGCCACTACTCCTCTGGGCGGCGAGCAAATGGTACGATTATCTACATGCCAGGGCCATGATAAAATTACCACAGGGCAACAAACACAAAATTTAAACAGATATTTTAATACAGATGATAAATAGGGCAGCAACACGAAGTGGGGGAAAATATTAAGTGCAAAGGGCAGCAAACCACAGCAAAAGGCCCTTTTAGGCATTACGTGATTTGTTCCAAAATGAGTTTTGGTTGTGGGTTTCTTGGTTGGTTTGACGGGAGAAGTGAACCACGCTTTAGAAATGTCCATAAGGTAATAGTTGGCGATCATTTCCAAAGATTGGCCATTTTAGGCTTTCTTAGAATGCGGGAAAAAGAAAAAAGAAGGGAGAGAAGTTTGGGTCTAAAAAAGCTCATGCTGAAATAAAACTGTTCTTCAGAGTGCTACATTGTGTCTATATTTATATTTATTTAATTTCAGTGTTTATAGACTGTATTCCTCAAGAGGACGCAAGGCAACTTACATTAAAATAAACAATATAAAGCTAGAAGGGAGAAACAAAAACTAAAAAAAAACACCCCCTTCTTTAGGCAGCCAGTTCCTTGTTTTGTTTTTTTTAAAAAAATTGCTTTTGTGCCTGAGAATGTCTCGATAAAATTGTGCCAGGCCAAGGATAGGGAAGAACTGAAGTGTGAGTAATTTTTAAAATTTATGTTTCAGTATGGTCTTATTTAAAAGGGAAAATCATGATGAATAGAATTTTCCCACCAAATTCCTCTCTAAAATCTCAGACCGCCTCATATGCAAATCAATTGTTGCTTCTTTCCTTTACTTCTAACAAATGGAGAAAATTTTTGAAAGAATAATATACTTCCAGATCATTGATTTTAAGTAGTTCTGAGAGTAAGAACATTTTCAGCAGAAAATGGAAAAACTTAAAAAGCCACTCTGATTTGTGCTGCAGGATCTGAAAGAGATTGTTGTAGCAAATGGCACTACAGAGAAAATGTAGCTGAGGTGGGAAACCTTAGAGGTAGGGAACTGAAATTGCATCACCTCACAAATTGTCCCTTTTTCCTGCAGGTGCCTTCTGCCAGAAGTGTGCTTTGAAGGAAGCTCTGGTTTTGTGCTATATGAGCTGGAAAACACACTATTGATATCTTGAAAGGAGTGGTGATTTAGCTGTAAGGTAAGTTGAAAATAAGTAGGGAATTGTTCCTTAGACACCAGCAGGTATGTCTCCCTCTTTGTCTGGTGGATGATCATTCTGAAAGGGACATTTAGTTGTACTTGTGAGATCAACTGATTTCTTCTCTTCCTTTCCTGGAATGACAGATTCTCAAGTTTTTAAAAATGTCATCTGACTCAAGCAAGAAACGGAAGCCCAAGGTCATCCGCACAGATGGAGGCCCACAGGAAGGCAAGAGAAGCCGGCCGGATGCTGATCAGGTAGCTTCAGGACGAAAAGGTGTCTCTTGGATGCTGTGCTTAAGAACAGCGAGAAACCAGAATAGTTTTTGGGCATGTGAAAAATAAATCTCAACATTTGGAACAGTTGTTTTCATAGAATGGTTTTAAGCTGTAATTCTAATTCTGCTGAGCTTAAAAGGGGATTGTCCAGTAAAAATACTCAATACTTTAAATTTAGTACTTAATATTGTTATTTCATCTCTCCTCCCTGAGCTCAGTGATGCATATGTGGCTCTTTTCTAAATGACAACCCTGTGAGGCAGATCAGTCTAAGAAACAATGACTGGTTCAGGGTCACCCAGTGGTCATGGCTCGATTGCATTACTTGAATTACGGCAGAAGTGCATAGCTGTTGTCAGAAACAGTAGAGGACTGTATTTCACAAAATCTTATACTGCAAGTTGCAGGCAAGTGCCACATTTTTGTCCTTTCCTGTATTATTATAAGAGCATTTTTCTCACAGCTCTTTGAGAACTCTAGTAGAACTCTAGTTCAAAGTTGCCTCTCCTCTTTGATAGAAGCATTCTGTACGTTATGGTCCAAAAATGCTTGGCTAGTGTTCTCCTCATAAACCTTCCTAAGAATGGAAGTGTTTTTACCAGCTGTAAAGGTTTTCTCCTTTAATTGTTATGTAGCGTGCACTTCTGGAACAGGATAAACCTGTGGCTAAATTTGAATCTGGCTGTTCGCCTAGTATTGTCCTAGAACAAATGGAGCAGAAGTTATGACTTTCTGTGTCCTGAGAACAGCATTTGAGACTGGATCAGGGGCCTGTGTAGTCAACATTTTGCTCACATAGTGGCCAGTCATTTGTCTGTGGAAAGCCTGACAGCAGGACACAAATGCAACTATATCTCTACATCCAGCCACTGATATCCATGGTGCCTCCAGTACAGGAGCTAAGTAGGCTTTCTGACTATGAGCCGTCAATGTCACTAATCTCTACAAATGCTTCAAACTAAAGCATTCTTCTAAAGCTATCCATATTGGCAGCCGTCTCTATATCTTGGAGCAGCAAATTCCACAGTTTCCTCCTGAATTTCCCACCCTTCAGCTTCAGTGGATGACCCTGTATTCTTGAGAAGCTCCCTATGGACTTCCTCCATGCCATGAGTAATTTATGCACTTCCTTTGTCTCTTACTCACCTTTCTAAGTTTTTCCAGAGGAGGCAAGAACTTGCAAGGGTGAATCTTCCATCTGTTTCCATTCCTAGGATGCCAAATACTACAGTGAAGAGGCAGAGGTGGATCAGCGAGACCCCAACAAAGACTATGAACTTTACAAGCAGACCTGCCAGGACCTTCAGAGGCTTATGGCAGAAATCCAGGAGCTAAAGAGTAAAGGCAGCAAAGACAGTGTAAGACACATTGAACAGAGGACGCGTGTGTGTGTATTTGTGCGCGCAAGAGAGAGAGAGAAAGAGAATATTTGTTGATAGTAGAAGAACCCTAGCAAAACTGAGACATTTGAAAAACAAACAGCTGATGTGCAGGAATGTGAGAAGAGTTGATGACCTATTAATCTCCTTTTTCCTCTTTCTGTCATTCAGGCTGCTGAGATAGAAGAGCGGCGCATCCAGAGCTGTGTGCACTTCATGACCCTGAAAAAACTCAACCGTTTGGCTCATATTAGGCTAAAGAAAGGAAGGGACCAGACGCATGAGGTATGGCTGAGTTTGCAGAAAGGAGAAAACATTGTAAGCCCTCTTCTGGAGTTCAATACAATATGAAAGTGTGAGCGGATATAGCCCTCTAATCCCCGGGGGGGGGGGAGCAGTTTTAACTTTGTACTCCTTGTGCAATCTCCCCAGATGATTGCCAATCTCCCCCCCGCCCCCAAATTAGGATCCTGATCACATGGAGAATCTCGGCATATAACCAACTGTCTTCTCAGACAGTCCTCAAATGGAGGCACTGAGAAGCAAAGAGTGAGGTAAATTGGATTTCCTGCTCCGTTCAAATTAACAATTTTGGAAGGCCCAGATAGCGTTATTAAGCCTTTTGCAATACTCCCCTGCCATCCGTTGGTTTTTTCTTTTTTCTAAATTAATTTTGGTAACTATGTTTGTTTACATATACATTTGTGTATTTCTGTACTGTTTGTTCCTCCCCCTCTCCCTTTCCCATTCTCACATCACAATCCTATCCAAATTCTGAATGTTTTGTTTTTTTTACAGGCAAAGCAAAAAGTGGATGCTTACCATCTGCAGCTCCAGAATTTGCTTTATGAAGTCATGCATCTGCAAAAGGAGATCACTAAATGCCTGGAGTTTAAGTAAGCTCTTTAAAGGGGGTGTAATTGGGGGATAGAAAGTTTTGTCAGTGGACAAGATTTGTCAGTGGACAAGGGAGGCTGATAGAACTGAGGGGGGGACCTGCTGTCCCATTGGAGTGGGGAGGAGAGTGTAAATGCATTGAGGGCCTGTCCCAAGAAAATGTGGTAGAAAAATGCATGTGATAGGCTTCTGTGATGTGGCCATTTGCCTGCGAGGGAGAAATGTCTCCACAGAGAAAGAAGGCATGGGTCTGTTAAGCCCTGCTTCCCTTGATGGCTGTATCACCTCAAGCAGAGGGCTTAAAGTAGAAGATTTGGTGTTAACTGTCCGAAATACCCTTGATGTTGACCATTATTGGACAGGGAATTATCTGATGTACTTCACAGTTTTAGTGTTGTGAACCAGTGTGTATTTTATTTATGCTTATGCACAGGCTATTGCTTAGTTTTAGATTGTCTTCTCCTGTACTGCAGTGCTTCTGGCACAAATAAAGGAAAGAAAGTGATGGAGCCAGCTCCACCTGTCTTTTGGTAGTCCATCTGTCTTTGAGGCATGGCGTCCTACTTGTCACTGTGGGCTGTGCCGTGTTTGATCCTTGGCTTGCATGCTGTGGCTCTCGGTCCCCTTTTGCAGGTCCAAGCATGAAGAGATTGATTTGGTGAGCGTAGAGGAGTTTTACAAGGAGGCCCCTCCAGAAATCAGCAAGGAAGAGATTACGCGCAGTGACCCTCACCAGCAGACACTCTGCCGTCTTGACTGGGAGCTGGAGCAACGCAAACGGTGGGTAGAACAGTCTGGCAGCCTGATCATCACACACTGAAAAGGCATTCCAGTTCAAGACTCGGGGGGGGGGGCGGTTGCAAAGATGGGCAGAGTTCCCCCTTGTGGGAGCTCCTTTGCAGTTTGATCAATCCTTCATTCCACCTGCTAGTGCCAGGTCCATAATCCATCATCTTGCGGAGCTGGTACAGAACTGAGCCCCGTGCTCAGCTAGGAATGCAAGTCAGGTAATAAAATGCAGCACACATCATTTTACCTGCAGAAGTCTACTCCTCGCTGCTTTCTCTCTCTCAGCAGTCTAATTTAGAAGCACATCAAAACCTTTGCACAGTGTGCTGTTAAACAAATGTGTGGCAGAGAGACCCAGAGTGTGTCTTTTGCCCACCCCTGTGGTGCACTTTGTCAGACCGAGGTTTTCCATTTAAGGTACCATCAACAAGCAGGCTGTTGGAATGACAAAAGGTTGCATTTTTGAAACAGATCACAAAAGTTAAAAATGGCTAACCAAGCTGCAGCATGTCTGTAGAGTAAGACAAAGAGACCTAGAACAGGCGCAGGATCCATGTAAAGGATAGGAAAGCACAATATAGGACATTGTGGAACACGAAAGGAACAGCAGAGCAGTTCCACAAGGATGAGCAGCTTGAACACAATTGTACTGATTTTGATTCTTGACACCTTTCTCACTAACCTCAAAATCCTTGGCTAAAAAGAGTATTGCCAGTTAAAAATCAGCTTGTAGAAAGTGTGCTGTCTGCCTGGGAGTCTGGTTGCAAGTTATCTGTTCGTTTTCTGCCTCGTTATGGATTTCGCTCTTTTTTAATTGAATTGAATTGAATTTTTTGCTAAGAGCTAGGTACTCTTGCCCCTTCTGGACTAAACTGTCTGCTCATTTCTGTTTTACATATCTATTGTCCAGTCAATGTGTATTTGTATTCATACATGGCCTGGTTAGATGATTATTATTAAGTTTTATCTGTTTCATGAATTCTTCTTCCTGAGCTCCTTCATCAGTCTGCACTGTGGCCTGAAATACAGTAGTTTGCCAAGAAAGTCTGGCTTGTGAATGTCTTATGCCACTAATATATTTGCGTCTGTAAGACTGCCTCTTTCCATGGTTTGAAAGCTGCATGTTGACACAAAGAACATCATGCAGTGAGCAAAGGTGTATTTATTATTATATATCTTGATTTATTCTGCTTTTCCTCCAAGGAGGTCAGTTCAGGATATAGGGTCTGCTTATAGCACCACCCTGTTTTATTCTCACAATTCTGATATAGTAAGGTAGGCTTTGATGTTGACTCCCACAGTCAAGCGTGCATTCATAGTTGGATGAGGATTTGAGTCTTTTTCCTCCTGGCCTTAGTCTCTTCTTAGAGAACAGGGTACACCCATGGAAGCTCACCGGGGGGGGGGGGGACAGGGACAGTGGAACTGGTAAAACCACATCTTGAGTATATCATTTAACTTGAAAGCCCTATTAGGGTCTCTGTAAGGCATTTCTGATTTGACATCAAAGAACGCACAAACGTAATGGTAATTATGACCCTTGTTTGTCCAGACTGGCTGAGAAATACAAAGAAAGTCTTGCCAACAGAGAAAAAATTCTGAAAGAGATAGATGTGAAGAAAGAATACCTGAGTAACCTCCAGCCGCGGCTCAACAGTATCATGCAGGTGCGTTGCAAGCCCGTTGAAGACTCGAGTGTCCGACTCCAATTATTTTGCCACCTTATCAGATCCTGATGCGAGTTCTCATCGTTTTAGAAAAGAAACTCTGAAAGTATATGTACAATTTCCTGTGTGGACTTGGAATCCAAATATTTAGAAACATCAGGGGGCCTTGATTCCTCACTCAGAGACCTTCTCTGTTCTGTCTCTTCAGACCAATGGGGGTTCTGTGATACAATCCTAAAGTTGTAGAGCTAGCTGGAGGAAACATATAAAGGCCATCTAGTCCCAACTCCCTGCCATTGCCAGGAATCCACAGCTGAAACCCAGAATTTTAGTTGGTTCACAATGTGTCTTCTCCAGGAATTCTCCCAGAAGGGGAGGGGTCCCCAACCTGCTCGTGTATTCCATCTTTTTTCCTCTCTGGGTTTTCTTTGGTAAGAAGAGAGATGGAAGAAGCAAGGTGGAAATATAGGAAGGCTACAACTGAAAGTGGGGTGTTCTGGAATATCTGTAAGCATGCATAAATGGGTCATTGTGCGGGCAGACTAATAGAAGTCCTTGGTCTGGAGACAGCCCACAAGGATCGTGAGGAGGGAGAGATGGGCAACTAATACGGTAGATGAGTTGGAGCATGTTCTGTATGCAAGGAAAAGTAGAAAGTTTGCAGCTCCTGACTGAGGCCAGCAGGAGGTCATGGAGAGGCTCAGGACATGATGAATGGTGGCTGTGGAGAGATTTGTAACCCTGCCCTTTTGCTTCTCCCCTGCCAGGCCTCTCTCCCCGTCCAGGAGTACCTCTCCATGCCTTTTGAGCAGGTTCACAAGCAGTACGAGACAGCCCGGCACCTCCCGCCACCGCTCTATGTACTCTTTGTCCAAGCCAGTGCCTACGGTCAGGCCTGCGGTGAGTGACCTGGAACTCGGGGTTCTCAGAGGGAGCAACATTAAGCTTCAGAGCTTCTTGCAGAAAACGTTGCTTATCTGAAGGCCGCTATATAGACGTTTTGGTGCTCTGCTAGGAGCGGTGGGCTGCCGTGAGCTTCCTGCTTCCCCTGAGTCTGGGACGGGGAGTAGCGCAAGCAAGAGAGCAGCTCCCTGAAACCTGGTGAAGCAGCTCTAGAGGAGGACCTCACCGATTCGGAGGCCGAAGCTTTAAAGCCCCATAAGTTCTGCTCTCCTGTCGAAAAGTGCCCTAGCGCAACCCCAGTGTGTGCCTTCTGCTCAGATGAGAAGGTAGGAGAGGAGCCATACAGGGCCTAAAGTTTGGCTTTAGGCCGGTGGAACCATAAGGACTAGGACGTTGTATCCCTTTCTTTAAATAAAAGATGAGGTTCTTAGTTGAATCACAGTGTGGCATATCTGTGCCCCAGTGAATCCCCTGGTTGGACCTGCAAGCCATTCTTACAGGTTTCATCTTTCTGAACACACCGCAGTGTGTTACTGCATCTTTTCTTCTGCTTTTTTCCTGTGTCTGTTCATTTTGTTCTTTTTCTGTCCTCTTTTATGTTGTTGTGTTCCCCCCCCTTTCCCCCCCCTCCTTTTCTGGCCAACCCCAATAGCTCACATGAAGCCCTCTGCTCTTAGGCAGGGTGAGTATCCTTTTGAGTTTCTTGCCTATAAGAGCCGGAAATAATTTAGCTTTCTGATTTGTTTTGTTAAGCATGTCTTTTCCCAGAACTTGCATAGCTCTTTGGAAAGCGTGAGGAAGGAGATTCTTTCCTGAGCAAGTCTTTATATGGTAGCTCTTTTGGGCCTGAAGGTATTTCAGACAAGTTGACCCTTTTTGGGATCTCTTAAAGGGAGCCCTGGCTTAGAATGTAAAACCTTTGCACCTGTTATTGAGCTGATATGGAGTCTCTAAATTCAAACCCTCTCATTTCTATTAATTGAATCCTATCTTTTTTGTAATTGCAGAGGAGTGGGTTGTTCTAGCACCTCTCAACATGTGTACAGGGTCCTTTCCTCTGGACTCTGAATATAACTTCTGTCTTGAGAGAAACATTCAACTCAAATCATTGAACCCTGAGTGGTTAATAACTAAAAGGGCCAACGGAGGGCATTGAATGCTGCTGAACCCTTCAGTCTTTCATCCTCATGAACCCGTGAACCTCAGCCTTTGCTCCATGAGTTGTTTCAGATCAACTCCCAGAAGCTCCAGCCCGTCTGGCCAAGTGTTCAAAGACTATGAGTAGAAGCCCCCCCCCCCAAAAAAAAAACCCAGAGGGCTAAAGGACACAAAAAAAGCCCCTGCTTTTCTCAGAAGTGTTGTCCCGATTTGTCTGGCTTCGAAGTGTGCTTGCTGAGAAAAACACACCTCACTTCCTTTGCATCTTCGCTTTGCATCTTGGCTCCTTCTAGCAGGCTGAATTTGCATGGGCCAAGCATTGGGCTTCTCACTCAGGGGTCGAGGTGGAGACTTCCATTGGGCAGAGGTGTGGAAAAGATCCTTGTCTAAGGAGAAGATTTTCTGGCATCCTTGCGCTGATTTCTTAATCAAATCTTTGTGTATTTTAAGTTACTGCAGTTTGCTAAATGGAGAATTAATAATAATATAATTTATTGTCATTGTAAGTATATACACAGTATACCCATACAACGAAATTCACAATTTCTGCTGGACAGGGAGATGGGGTTAAGGTTTCCTGTTCTTCTCCAGATAAGAAGCTGGCCGTTGCTATAGAAGGAAATGTGGAGGAAGCCAAAGCACTCTGCAAACCTCCAGAGGACTCCCAAGGTAAGGAAAGATCCGTTGTGTTAGTTTGCCTGCTGTGTTTCTCAGTGGTAGAGCAGCAACTTTGCACAACCTCAGTCTCGGGTTGCATCCTCAGTTCTGCCATTTCAAGGATCATGAATTGTCTTAATCTGTGAAAGCTCTTGCCTGTTGGCAGGGATGTATTTTCCCCAAGCTATTTGACTACAAATCCTACTCTCCCCAGCCAGGACGGTTGGGGTTGATGTATACAGGGTGCCAGATTAGAGAAGGGTTGCATAGAGGCATTGAGAAACATGACACACTCATTTATGTATCGATTTATTTATTTAAAGTATTTTTTATCCCACCTTTCTCTATATATTTATTTTATTTTATTTATGTACCACCCATTTGGCAGCCAGTGCCATGCTGGGCAGTTTGCATCAACAAGACAAAACAATAAAATAACAAAATAAAACAACATCAGTAAATTAAAAAGTGCAAAACAAAATACATAGTCAAGTATCACCAATTATTGCCCTTTTAAATATAATTAAGAATGGCCATCTTGAAAAAGAACAGAAAGAGCTAACTGTTATAATGGTCACAGCAGCAAGATTACTACTTGCAAAAAATTGGAAAAATGACAAACAGATTAACCTTGAAGATTGGTATAAAGAAATGTGGAGTTTAGTGATAAATGACAAGCTAACGTGAAATAAAAGTAAGAAGGGAAATGACAAAATACAATAATTTTAAAGAGATACAGAATCCATATTTGAACTATGTTTTTGTAAAAGAAAGAAGTCATAAGCCAGCAGAAGAATCAATGTATTTTTGGAGTGGAATGGGGTGAAAAGAGATTAAAAGGATATTTGGTTATCTGGTCCTGATAGTGATGGTGGCATGGGGGTGGTGGTGGGATTTTTAGTAGTATTGTATGGTATGTATGTACACACATTTTATGTTAGTGTTATTGCTTTTCTTTAATATAAAATATGTTTACCAAATGTACTACAATAGCAAAAAAAGTATAAAAACATTTTTAAAAGACCCAAGGCGGCTTCCATCATTAAAAAGACAATATTCAAAAGTGAGCAATAGCAAAAAAAGTATAAAAACACTTTTAAAAGACCCAAGGCGGCTTACATCATTAAAAAGACAATATTCAAAAGTGAAAAACAGTTAACTTAAGTAAACAAATATTTTAAAAAAATTAAACAAGTATTACATGAACACATTTAAAACCACAGAGCACAACAATCCATTTAAAAATCCCTCCCAGAACTTGTGGCCTGGCCTGTGCTGAGGTCGCTTCCCAGATTCACATCTGGCTGATGGTGGCTTGACTGGGAGCTGGGCTTTGAGGGCTTTGCTTTGTGGACCTTCCCAGGAAAGTTATAAGGAATATACAACCTTAGGATAGTTCTGGGGTTTGTTTGTCACCCCTCCTGATTTTGATATCACAGGGTGGTTTTTGCAAACTGTGCTTAGCTCTGAGTCAAGGAAAGATGGTTGTGTCTGTTCTAAAATCCTTTAAATAAAGTCTGTTGAACCAGGTATGCTGGTCTGCCTGTATCTTTAGCCAGGCCTGCCAACAGAGCTCCTTTTGTGTTCTCATGTTCATTTATTTGGATTTGCAGATGATGAGAGTGATTCGGATGCTGAGGAAGAGCAAACCACAGTAAGTGTTCACTTTTCTGCAGCCCTGCGGGTTTGGAAGCCTAGGTTGCATGAGATAAGAGAAATGTTGTTTTTTTGCTTTAGGAACAGGGAAGCACGCATGGGTATTTCTCCATATAGGTCACGGGTTGCCTCTCCCACGATCAAAAGCAGGGCAGAGGACCTCTTCTGCGTTTGGTTCTTGTAACAGCTAGAAGGAAAAAGAGAGGGCAAAAAATTTATATAAATAATTTAAAAATAAATATAGCAGAGTCTGGAAAAAGGCCAGGCGTATTGAGAACTGGGTGATGTATTACCAACAAGCAACTCTTTGAACAATTTTCGCTTTATTATCCTTTTGTAATCCTCCTCCCTCCGGCCCACATTCTCTCATATTAGAGAAGTGGACATTACTTTACACAGGTGCATGAAGACGTTTTGACCACCCTGAAGGTCAGTGATTTTGCTCACATGAGTAGTGGGTCTGCTGGTGCAGATTTGAAGCTACTTTGCAGTCCAACCTGACCCCCAAGACTGAGTAGTTTAGCAAAGCAAAATCAAAGTAAAAGCAAAGCATGCTGCTTATATACCGCCCCATAGTGCTTCAAGCACTCTCTGGGCAGTTTACAAATTAATTACGCAGGCTACACATTCCCCCCCCCCCCCCCAGCAAGCTGGGTACTCAATTTACCAACCTCAGAAAGATGGAAGACTGAGTCAGCCTTGAGCCTGCTATCTGAGACCATCACGATCGAACTCAAGCCATGAGCAGAGTCTTGACTGCAGTACTACAGTTTAACCACTGCACCACAAGACGTTCTCAAGAAAGTGTAATTCCTCACATTCCGACCACGGTTTTAAGCACTGTGCCACGAGGCTTACATAGTTTGCGGCTTGCTGGCATGTCACCTCTCAGAGTCTAGAGGCTCTTAACATGATACAGCAAAGGAGGGTTCAGGAGAATGTTGAGGGACTGGGATTTTTGAAGAAGGCTTGCTGAAATGTGAGGCAGGAGCTGCTTTAGAGGAGAATCAGGGCGAGCAAATATCCCCACTTGGGATGGTTTTGATTATATCTGCTTGTCTTTCCTGCTGTCTCTCGCTCGCTTCAAAGTCCACGGAAAGAATGTGCCTTGACAGTGGAAGAGTGTGTCAGCTTTGACGCACTCACAGCAAGCAGCTACAGATGGACAGGGGGTAGGATGTGTTCTGACTGTTCTCTTTCCCCCCCCCCCGGTAGAAACGCCGCCGCCCAACCCTGGGGGTGCAGCTGGATGATAAGCGCAAGGAGATGCTCAGGAGGCACCCACTCTCTGTCACGGTGGATCTGAAATGCAAAGGTATGACAGCCCAGCGGGCCTGCTAGCTGGTTATTATCCCCGGTTTGTGCTCCTAAACTGGGGGAGACATCACTTTTAGTTCATGGGGAGTCACAAATCAAAGTTCTGTTGTGCAGAGTGTCACTTTCTGCAAGTTTGCTAAGAGTGGGACCAAACAGGAACAAGTCTCATGCTCAAACCTGTGGCAAGGTGTGCAGCTTTCCTAATAGAAAAGACTATGGGCTGTTTTTGCTTTTTCCTGAAACCTGTCATTGTCAACTGTACCAAACCTGGGGGGGGGGGG